AGTCACACTGATCCTTTGGGGACATGCAAATCCCAGGACTGGAAAATGGAAGATACAGGCTAACATTTGCCTGTGAGGTTGTTAGTGGTAATGTGCATAGGTGAATTTTGGCTGGATGGGGTTTTTGGTCTAATGTACTTATGCAGTTGCCTTTTAGACCTTAATTGGAGCAAAAGGGATGGGGCAGCTCTCAAGTAGTGCTCTAGCAGTGATCTCATTGAGGTTACTCTCCTCTTCCTTTGCCTTCCCAGGGCACAAGGTAAAATGGGACTAACCCTCTGTTTGGTTCATCCTCGTCTTTTCCTTTTGCTTTTCATCCTTGTGCACATTTTTATGGAGTGCATAAACGTGCCCCACAAAAGGGACTCCCCAGGCTCAGTGCCACTGTCACTGGGAGAAGTTGCTGCATGTCCCATGGTGAGCCTCTTCCACACTTCAAATCCAGGGACTTCTCCCCAGGAATGGCACCAAACCTGCTTTCTGAGCCCAGCATCCCACCAGTGCTGTCAAACTGGCACCATCTCAGAACTCTACCAGTCAGCGCCAGAGTAACAGGAGCATTTAAGGATACTGCCAGCACATATGGATTTTAAAAATTGCTTTTAATATCTAATGTCCACATCTAAATCCCAGTTAAATTAGCTGAGCTCCTAAACACTCTTGTAGGGACTGTAAGTGGGTGAGAAGGAAGAATGTTTGTGAATGGATGTGAGGAACCAGCAGGGAGATTTCACAGAAGAGGCAATTGAGAGCTAATCCCCCGCTCTGCTGCTGACAGTGCCTCCGAATGCTCTCTTATTTACCGATGAAGAGCAATTGACCGAATTGTACTATTTATGTGTTTTAAGCATTTTCCAAAACTGCATACTTCACAGGAATGTGGGAGACAAACTGGCAATGGAAAGGAGCAATTCTAAAGTAGTTAACAGACCTTTCATTTTTATTCTGCCCGTATATGCAAAGCTTTTTAAAAGTAGTTTTAAGGAAAATGAGAATCGACACTCTTGAGCTTATATTGTCTCTTACAGTTTGAGGAGCTAGCACAAATCTTGCACTCTCTTCTTCACTTCATGAAATATAAATCAGAGAATATTATAATTAAAAAAAATAATTCTGGTCTGGCTAACAGCAGGAAAATCCATGATTCCAGTGATGGAGAGTAACAGTATAAAACTTATTTATTCACATCAGGTACTGCAGGTTTTAGCATCAATTCCTGACTTGCCATTTTACATTCTCCACATTACTGGGACTTTCTTCATAGCCTCAAGGATTTTCCTTGACTGAAGATTCCTAGTTTGGAAGATATGGCTTGATGCTGACCATACAAAACTATCTCTTCTCTGGCAGATAAAAACAGAGCAGACACATATATACTACTTGCTTTCTAACCCAGGACTTGTAGAGTTTCACTTTTTGGCATTAGTTCCAAAGCTTTAAGATTAGAGAAGGATGTAAGTCAAAAGATTTGAGGCTCTGAGGGGTTGCACTGCAATCTGGGTGCTTATTGTTTGTTTAGGTTTTCCTGATTTTTTTTTTGTTTTGTTTATGCATTTGGTTTTCTTTTTTTGAACCTTATGCAGAGTACTTAAATGTGGTGGAATTTAGGTGCCAAATTGCTGGTCCAGCACTTGTTACCTTTTTCTCCCTATAAATTATCCTCCTCTTTGGTAATTGCTCTTGTTTGAGAAGATGTGTTTGGGTGTAGCTTTTGTTGGGGTATTTTACACTGCTCTGAGAATAAGGCCCCAAAGAGAAAGTTGAGGAAGAAGAAATTCCTGGGGGTAGAGAAATTGAGCTAAAATACTGTTCTCACATTCAGAACATTCACAGATGCCTTTAAATATCATATATCCAAAAGGCAAACATATCGACCAGAGGGTTACCTTTGTCAGTATTTCACAACAAATCTCCAGAAGCTTTTGGTTATGCAAGAAACACAGAATATTTTCCCCACTTTTAAAAACATCACAGTATAATCAAAAATAAATAGATTGCTGTTAGCTTCAACATAATTTCATGCTGTCCAGAAATAAGATGGGAGAAAAACCTTTTAGGTAAAAGCAGAAATTTCATTAAGAAGCAACATGTGAAACACTTTCTTTGTTAAGCATAATTAGCAGTTCAAAGACACTTGCCTTTCCAAGTGTCTGCTTTGATTCCTGTCAGATGCAGAGGCAGTGATATATGACACGACATTCATCAACTAACTCTCAACATAAAATGATGTGATGATTTTTCTCTAATTGATGGGATGGGAAAGCAAACCTTTTTTATTTTTTTTCTTAAATGAGCTTGAGAAATCATTTAAATGGCTGTCAGATCTCCAGCAGCAGGTAATAAAACACTGGATGGAAGATTTTCAAATTCAGTTTTTGCTCATTCCCAATGTTTCTCTTTCAAAAGTACTTTACTTTCTGACATGTCAGATATTACTTATAGGAATCGTTTTTGCCTGTTTTTAAGACATCTCCTGTTCAAATTTGCTTGCTGACTTCAATTTGCTGTTCTGACAGCTTTCTTTGAGACTAGGTGGCTCTTCTGAAATGTATTCCAACTGAGAGGTTTCAAACAGTTTCATTTTATTTTTGATCTTCCTGTGACTATCAAGTCTTATGCTGGCCTTTTTTTTCTAGTTGGCTGCTCTGGTATTTCTTTCTCTTCACTCTTCACTGACTCCCCAGCAGACTTTTATTTTACAGGTGGATATTTTGTGGACTCTTCCTCACATGCTATTTTTCTGGATTTTACAATTAACATGCTTCTGTCTTTTTTTAATTATTATTATTATTTTATTTTCAGTGTAGAATAATTATTAAAATAGTCTAAAATAACCAATATAGCCAGCTAGAATGACTCAGTAGTAGAGGGACTGGCAGGCATGAACTGCTCACAGCAGAAATCCAAGGTCTGTGCTCCAGCTGAGAGCTCAGGAGAGAAGGGGTGACTGCTCCTACATCACCTTGAGTGCCTTGATGTGGTTTTGATGACTGCAATAGGTTATTTCCATGTGCCCAAAGCCTGCCCCTTCAGATTTTACACAGGCTGTGGGCAGCATTTCAAGCTGTCCAAAAAGAGAAACTGAAAAGCCCGTAAAAATACTCCCTTACATATAACCAGGTTGTGAAAATAACTATTCAGGTTATTTTTAATTCTTTTCTCTGTGTCTGTGGTTCAAGGTTTTAAACACGATCCAGGCCTCCCTTCTGGGTTTGTTTGTGACACAGGACTTTATTCCCTTGTTACCAAGTGTGTGACTGCCTGTGTTTTTGTCCCAGTGTAGCAAATGAAAACCAAAGTTCTGCTGTGAGAAGTGTCCTGGATGCCTTGGTGAAAGAGGGAGATTGTACTTTGGAAAACCAAATATTCAAAGCTGCTGCTTTGTGTGGGGTGACTCAGCTGTGTGGGCTTGGGTTTGCCAACAAAAAGGCAGCTAAACTCAGTGTTTCCATGAAACCAGTGAACAGTCACACTGTGAGCTCTGCTATGGACATGTAGAATCTTCCATCAGCTGCAGTGAGCTCTGCCATGGAAAGGGGGGAATAAAGCCAGAGCATTGTATGAACACACAGTGTTGCCCCTGCCCCAAGGAACGTTGGGTCTACATGGGACAGCAGGGAAAAGCCAGAAGTCATGACCAAGAGAAAGATAATTTTTATATCCCCAGTTCGAGTTGTCCCTCTTTGACACCTTTGCTGAATTATTGTCCCCTCAGAAGTTAAATTTCCTTCATGCACCAAAACACAACTCTGCTTTCTGGTACTTTACAAGTACCAGAAGGAGTAGTGTCTGGTCTCTGTAAATTGGAGAGGAAACTGATCTAACACATTTGTTGATTCTACATTACATCAAATATTTCAGGAATATAAAATTGTTCATTCTGTTTCATACATGAACTAGCCCTGTGGTCTCTGACCCGCGATTGTTTGCTAGTATTTTCTTAGAAAACTTTTAAATAGACATAAGATTGAATTATCAGCAAACAGGAAATAACAGTGTTTTCTATTTCGGAAGCTGAGTCGGAAAACCTGGCTCCAAACCCCATGAAAAAACAGTAGGAGACCAACATACCTTAGGTGCAAAACTAACATAACCTAAAAGCTTAATGTTAGAAATACACATTGAACAGTACAGAAAAAAAAACCAAACATCTCAGCGAATTTCAACGTTCTTAAAAAATAACTTAGAAAACGGAAAGAAGGAGTCTAAGGAATATTTAGTCTTTAACTGCCTATTTTTGACTCATGTGGAGTCTTGTTTGTTCAACACAAAATCATTTTCATCCACCCAACTGCCAGGTATGACACCCTATGAGTAAAAGATCTGCATGTCATCAAATCCCGTACAGAGTAATTTTCCTTTAAAGACACCATTTTTAATTTATCTCAAAGTCCACCTTAGCTCTCAGCACCACTTTTATGCCAGTGCCACCAAACTGTGCCAGCATTATAGGATCATGAACTGGGATCACTTACCCTGTCAATTCTGGTTTCACACTGACACTTCCAGCAGGGCAGGTGCTATATTTTATTAGTTACAGAGATTCACTGGGCATCCAGAACCTGCCCTCTGCACTCTGCTTTTATAGCAGGATTCAATACAGCTGAGCAAATACAACCTCTGCATTATATATGAGGTGCAGGGAGGTGATGGGAGCAGGGTAAATGCTCTCATCAGGTGTAGTGTGCACAGGGAATCAGAAACACAGAGACACTCTGTGAGACCAGGGAAAAGGAGGAGGGAAAATGTGTTTGGGTCTGCCATGAAGGCCCAGGAAACCCTGCTCACAGGATTTCTGTCCCAACCAACTCTGCAATCCCTACCCAAGGCCTGGATGCATTTACAACTCCACTATATTTCCATGCCTGACTTTAGTTAAATTCTCAACGTTGCAGCCAGATAGGGGGAAAAACCCCAAACAAATCCAATGTACTAGTTGCTAATAACTCCTGAACAGCAAACTGACAGCAATTCCCCAGCCCAGACTTGTTTCTACTCACCTCCATTTGTCTCGGGGATATTTAAGGCAAAGGCTCATTTTTGTCCTGCAGATTCCGTGCTGCTGCTCGGTGTTATTTTGCCAGGTCGTAAAAAGGCTCCTGACCAAAAGGAAGAGGAAAGCAACACGGAAAGCAAACACAGAAGTCCCAGAGGAAAGCTACACCCTACAGAGCAGCACTAATAGCAACGGCGAGACTCACAAGGAGAGAACACTCCCAGTTAGTAACTTTTTCCATCCATACATCTGTTACAAAACAGTTTAGCTGCAAACTTCTCTTCCTTCTTGCAAGCAGTGCTTTGTTATAGAGGAGACCTCAGATACACTACGTGATGAATGTGGGTTTTGTCAGGTTTTTTTTTTTTTTTTAGTTTTGTTTTTTTTACCAAGTAAGCAAATTATTGAAGTATAAACTAGAAGCTCAGCTGACTGCTTTAAAAATACACTGCTAGGCAGTAATTATGACAAGGTGCATTTGTCCATACTTCAAGTTTTTTTTTTCTTAATTCAAAAGTCTTCAACAGAAGCAGAGTCATATTTGAAATAACTACCTATGGGAGTTTCTGGTCAGCAAGTGCAGCAGAGGTGAATGTTCAGATGATTAATAACTTAATTTTTTTAGAGCTTGATGGGCAGACAAGGAAAATATGCCAAACTGTCCTTGCCTCAAGAAGGATTTTTAGTGCCAAAACAGAACTGCAATGAGAAGGAAAACTCATGATTTCACCTCTAAAGACTTTCAGGGCAGAGAGAGATGTGTGGAGGGGCAGAGGGATTTACTGCAGCAGCAGAAGCTGCTGCGCCCAGCTGTGTTTTCACATTCTTGCCTCGGTGGATTTGAGCTTCTCCAAGAGCCAGGGCTGTTCCTTGGTGTAGGTCATAGGGTAGCTACGTGTGAGAGCCCACAGAGGCACTGTGGAAACTTTTGTGCTGACAGTTAATGTGTGGCTTGGCAGAAATATAAAACAATTGGGTTTGAATTTAAAAATGTTGACAGCTGTGTTTTGACATATATTGACATATTTTGACATATATTGTGTATGACATTTCCCAGGGTGTAGCAAATTCATTTGTTTTTCAAAATCCAGTATCAGGTTCTTCCCTTGCCCCAAAATAAACCTGGAACTACTTCAGGGAAGTTGAGAGAAATTAAGATTCCATTCACCAGGGTAAATGAAGTCTGCCTTGAGCACAGAGCCAGAAAATGCTGTATGCAGTGGCAGAGGTGTGAAAGAACTGCTGCAGGAGTTATCCTATTAAATGTAATATTAAGCCCCACCCCTGTGCCCCTGTAACTCTGTGACATCTTGCTTTGCTGTTTTCCATCTCCAGGGGCTGGTGGACTTTTAAAAAGTTGTGAGTTCCATGAGGAGACACACAGATAATGTAATAAGGTGGTAAGGTTGATCATGGCAGAAAGGAGTCATCTGGTTCCCATCTGGAATATTAAAAGAGACCTGAATCCACTTGGTTCCCAAATCTCCTCAGACCCAGAGGAGCAGGTGTTCCTGTGCCCTTGGTGCTCCTTGAAAACTGCAGCCAGCATCTCCTCCAAGTCTTGTTTTCTGAAGCACTTTTCCTGTATGAGGTCCTCTCAGCCAGGAGCAAACCTGAAAGCCTCTCCATCCACACTGCCAAGCAAGGTAAGGGATGGCTTTGGGACACAGGTCCAGGAGGGACAGAAGTGTCCCCATCCCTGGCTTGCTCTTTGAGCTGAGAACTGCTCCCTGGGCCGGAGTAACTGGAGGAGTTATTGGAGGTGCATCTTCCCCTCCAGTGCAGTGGCTGTGCAAACCCTAGAGCAGCATCTGGCCAAGGTTTGGAGACTGAGCACTGAAAACACTGCACACGAGCTGAGAACTGATTTTGGAAGGACTGGACAATTGATTTACACCACTAGAATCCCTGTGAATAAAACCAGACCTTTAGAAGAACACAGAACCTTGGAGTTTTTTAGACTTTTTGGATTATTCCTTTAAGAATGTTCCTTTGGGTCTGGCACAACATGGAGTGACATGACAGCACACTTTTCCCTCCTTTATAATTTCCTCTCAGAAAGAGCATCTGGCCTTGCTGCCTTTGTAGCTGGTTGAAAGCTTGACATGTCATCTCTGTATAATTGAGCCAGGTTAATGGTATAACATAATTTACAAGCTTCCCAGGATATTGGCTGGTACAGCTGTTTGGAGTAATTGCCAGCAATGGATTTGTGCTTTCTCACTGTTCACAGAGCTGGTCACTTTATGAAGGAAAAGCAAGGGAGTACTTCCAGCACAATTATATTTAAGGTACTGGCTTTCAAAGGGCCTTTGAAGCAAAGTATTTTCTTCCTCATTACTAAAGCAGCACTGCCAGAAGCGTGGGTAAATTCTTAGGTACTAAACCTGGCTCTATGTGTAACAAGGTCAGGGTTTATAGTCAATCCAAGGGCTGGTTACTACCCAAAATACTGAAATTGTCCTGCTGTCCCCTCTCTGTATCACTTTATATATTAATTTTATTAATATTTGAACAGTATGCGTATTTAGCTTTTGTAATTAATTACAATTAATTGTCTAATTGCACCTCAGTGGGCACACACCCCCCCTGCATCACTGCTTGCCCTTGTGCTGGTTCAGGGGGCACCAAAGTCACTCCATTCCCTGCCCATTTCCCTCCCTGGCTGTGTCTCTAAGGAAGCAGACAGCAACAGACCTTTCACCTTTCTGTGACATTTGAATTTTGGGATTACTTTTGACCCCTCAGTAATCTTTGACCCTCAGGAGGAGCATTTGACTCTTTGAGTGAGCTTTGACATTTCAGGATGACCCTTGGCCTGTTGAGATGATCTTTGATCTTTTGGGATGACTTTTTACATTTGGTTGTCTTCCACCTCTGGAATTTTGGGGTGACTTTTGGCCTTTCAGGAAACAAAAAAAATCACCATCAAGGTGACCTTTTACTTTTCTGTGGCCCATGGTCTTTTGGATCACTTTACATTTCAGGCTAATCCTTGAATTTTTGATGACCTTTGACATTGTGAGAGACCCCTGTGTGACTTTTGACCAGTCCTTGACATTTTACCTTTATGAAACCTTTGCTGTGATTTTTCACATCTCCAGTGGCGTTTGAGATTTCAGTGAGCCTCAACCTTTTCAGTAACCTTTGACCTTTCTGATAACTTTCTGCTTTTTGGTACGACCTTTGACCATTCTGGATGACCTTGACCTTTTGGTATTGACTCTGGGGATTGCCTTTTACTTTTGATGTTTTGAGTATGACCATTTACCTTCCCCTATCTGTTTTCAGGTTATTTTATACCAGGACACCCTCCACTCCACTTTTTCTTTAAGAAAATCCTCTTAATATAATAGTTTTGGTGCTTGATTATCTGTGTTTTCAGAGGATAATGCATATTTTGTGATAGAAGTTGTGTTTCAGCACTTACAGAAATTCCCTCTTACATTTTATTCATTGTTAAAAGTCTGGATATTCTTATTGATAGAAACAGCTGAATGTTTTTGAGTCTTGCTAAGCTGACCTCGTAGTAATTCATAGCAGATGCATCACAAATTAATTATGTGTTCTGGGAAAAAAAGATTCCCTATCATCCCTTCCTCTGGTTGCTGCAATTTAATTTCACTGGTGCATCTCTTGTTGATGTTCTGTGAGACACAGGAAATCTTCCCAGTCTCTTTTCTGTCCGTCGTTCATAAACATCTGTTGGTGTCAGTTTTAATTCACTTTCCCCTTCCACTAAATTTTATTTGATCTGTATCCTCATTAATGACTTCTGCATGTTAATAAGTGGTCTTGCTCTTCTTCTCCATTCCTGTTTTATGGTTTGTCAACAGGGAATTCTAGCTGAGACAGCAGTATTAAAAACATGAGTGTGGAAAGTGGGAAGGGCTGATGTGATGCCCTAATTCCAGGCAGGAATGCTGTACAGGATAGGGGTGTATCCCCTTGCAAGCCCTATCTCAGTGCCTGTGGTGTCAAGCCCTCCTGGCAGTAGATCCAAATGCATGTTGAAAATGTGGGAGGGAAGAGCCATGAAAACACTGAACATCTTAGAAGACCTTACCTGCAGGGATAACTTTCAGGGCAGTCCCATCTGTTTAGTTCTGAGAATTTAAGGGATATTTGATTCGTCTTAAGCACCCTACAGAAAAAAATATAAATGTAATAATAAAGAAATCTTCAGTTTGTTGAAATAAATGTTAATAGATAATGGGGATAGTCAAATGCAGATTTGCAAGAACCTGCAAAATCCTAACAGGAGAATTTGCTATCAGAACAATTGTCTGGAGGCTTTCTAGGCCATCCACCCTTGGGAGTTTAAATGTGACCTACCTAAAAATCCTATAATGAAATGGGCTTGAGGATTTAATGTGCCATCAAAACCACCAATTAAAACAAAAATCACCAGTCTGGACTCTGGTGGATAGGCCACCTTTACATAACCTGGAAAGGGATCATAAATAAATATACAAATTACATATAAACATTACATGTAGAAATTATATTCCATAAATAACATGTTTCTGATACATTTCCTGAACATTTCTGATAAAAGACAGGACCTCGAACCAGAACTTTAAAAATACAGTTTGTTTCATGTACGATCAGCAAAAGCAGCCAAGCAAACAGTTCCAGGGATTAGGTGCATAAAAGGAATGTGTCTCATGGAAATTATATTTAGTACAGCTGAGATTAAAGAATTGACCCTGGCCCAGAGGCTGTTCTAAGATATTGGATGGTTCCTCATGCAGCCAAATTTCCTGGGAGGTTGTGAGCAATGTTTAGTGGGCCTAAGATGTAGTCTCACCTCCTCCGGATAAAAAACACTCTTAAACTCACACACTATTGGGTTACATGGGGAAGGGGAAGGCATGTTTCCAAACCCAGGCAGCACTTCACTAAAATTCCCTTCACTAAAATTCACCCTGGGATTTTATACCCAAAAGCAGATAACTTTTAATTAGGATCCTTGCTGATTCCATCCCACCTCTGTCTGTCTATCTATCTGTCTGTTTGTCTATCTATCTATCTATCTATCTATCTATCTATCTATCTATCTATCTATCCATCCATTGTATCTAGCTTAGCCTGAGGCAAGATATGTCATTTTTTCCCATGGCCAATACCTGGGATGCACTGCTGCTCAGCACAGCCTGCCCAGTTTGCTCTCTCCTTG